CTGCCTGGGCCGCTCGCACTCGCTGAGCTGGTGCCGCGAGGCCGTGGCGCGCGAGATCCTAGAGTGCGGCGTCTCGGTGCAGCACCTCCGCGCCGTCTACGAACTGCGCGCCCAGGGCTCGGCGCCCGCGCGCGACTCGCACAGCAAGCCCTCGCTCCCCTCCGGCGCCTCCGGTCGAGAGCCCATCCTCGAGGAGGACTACGTGGCGGCCGGCGCCGGGGAGCCGGGCGCCCTCGCCGCCAACGGCTTGCAGGCCGCCGGGGACTCCCTGGGAGCCCTGGGCCCGCCTGACGCTCCCGGCCACCAGGCGGCGATGCCCGAGCCCGAGCCCGAGCCCGAGCCCGAGCCCGAGCCCGAGCCGCCCGCGCGCCGGCCGCCGCTGACCACCGAGCTGCGCGGCGTCGAAGACTACATAGATATGCGCAAGGAGCGCATCGTCTACCTCTTCCTGGAGCACTGGCGCAAGTGGACCTTCCGCGGCCCCGGGCGCCACGCCCAGGCGCGCCTACGCAGACTGCTGCCCCGCGTGGTGGCCGCCGGCACGCGCCCGGCCCCCGACGCCGCCAACGACCCCCAGCCACCGGCCGCCGACGGCCCCGACGGACGGCTGCTGCGCCTGCTCAAGCAGCGGCAGGTGGTGGGCAAGCTGCTGGGCCACTGGCGGAGCCTGCTGCGGCAGGTGCCCGCCCGCCCGCCGGGCTCAGGCCTGGCGCCCGGCCTGTACTGGCCCGAGCACTTTCTGCCGCCCCTCGACGGCGGCGCGCCCCGGCGCTATGACAGCCTCACGCTCGACCTCTTCATGCTGGGCTACTTCCAGCTGCTAGAGATGGGCCTGAGCCGTGAGGAGCGCAAGTTCCGCCACCTGCTGTGCTACGAGATGTTTGACCGGCTGGGCAGCCACCCGTGGGAGCTCATCCGCCTCTTCCACCGCGTGGTGCTTGAGGAGGTGGAGGCCGGCCGGCGCAGCTGGAGCGACGGCTTTGAGGACCTCAGGCGCCGGTTCTTTGGAGACAGCCCGGAGGCCGAGCCAGCCCGGGAAGATGAGGAGGCCGAGAAGGAGCAAGAGGAGGAGAAAAGAGAAGAGGAGGAGAGGGAGCCGGCGGAAAAGATCAATTCGGCTCAGACGGTGGACTGGCCAGAGGGGCAGCCCGAAGCCCCAGCCCCTGCGCTGCAGCCCCCCACCCCACCCCCGCCGGCTGCGCCGCCCCCCACATGGGACCCTCCTAGTTCCGAAGCCCACGCCGAAGATCCCCTGGAGCTGGTGTCTGAGATGGGCGAGTTCAGCAACGAGGACATCTGCCGCTACATAGATCGCAGCTTCTCCTTCTGGAAAGAGAAGGAGGCAGAGCTCTTTGATATCTGAGCAGAATTTGGAATTTCCCCTCCAGCACCTTCACCAGGGCCTGGATGCCTGTCTGATGCCCTCTGGAGGCCAAAAGCCGGCAGGAAGAACCCAGAAGCCAGCATGGTGGCCTTGGAGAACCCAGAGTGCCCAGGAGGACCAGGCTGCCGCAGCCTTTGAAACCCCAGCATGACCAGATGTGGGGCAGTGGCCAGAATGGGCAGCACGGGGCACAGGGCAAACCTGGTGTTCCCCTCTGGCCCTACAGTCTTGCCTGGCTCTGTGTTGGAGCCAGGTGGAAGAAGCCGCCCCCGAGGGACCCTGGGTCCCCCTTGGGGCAGTGGGGCTCTCATCTCTCTGGTTTTTCACTGAATTCACAGCTACTTCTTTGAGGTCATGGAGCGACGTGTGTAGTGTTCCCTGTGACATGTTCTCCTGTGTAAACGCCCAAGTAATAAAACTCTTTGCTGTGAGCCGCCTGTGTTGGATGCCCGCCCCTGCTCCTGCCAGGTCACTGCAACCACACAGTTGTAGAGTAGTGTCTGCTCACTTGGGAACAGGACACATGGGGCAGAAGGTTCTTCACGCTGGAGGCCAGACTGAGCCTCTCTGAGCTGGCTGGATCTGTGGGGGCCCAACTCGGGGTCTGCCCAGAGAGTCGGGTGAGGGGCCTGGGCCATCTGTCAGCATGCCCCAGTGGGGAGGAAGCTCATTCTCTGCTCCTCTCCCACACCTTAGTTCTGACCTCTCTAGTGCCACCTTTAGGATACGGGACCTGAGTTACAAGGAGGCAGAGCCTGGGAGATTCCCTTTAAGGGGACTGTGGCCAGGCACCTTCATCTATGTGCCCTGTAGGAGGACACCTCTAGTCCACTGTCCCTGACTGGTGCATGTGCCCCCGGCTTGGGGGCGCACCCACCTCTGATCCCCTACCTCCTCGCCCATGCTGGTCCTAAAGCTCTGTGCTTGTGTTTCAGGAGAAAGAGGAGGAGGCCCGGCTGGCCGGCATGCCTGCCTGGAGGCGAGACCTCCTGCGGAAGAAGCTAGAAGAGGAGAGGTGAGCTGGGGAACCAGAAGCATCAAGGCTTGGTAGGATGTCTTGATCGCGTCCCTGACGTAGCACCAAATGATGCTGTCTCTTTTTCCTTCTAGGGAGCAGAAGCGGTGAGTGTGGGACTGGGCCCAGCCTGCCACCCCTCTCCAGACTGGGCACCGTGCTTTTGCCCCTTTGTCCAGCCTCATCTTGAGCACACCCCGTTTTCACTCTGGTCTGTAGTGTAACCTCTCTGCTCCTAGTGATGCCACCAGACTCCTCTCCCTCAGTAACTGAGCCCCTGCCCCAAAGTCTACATCTTATGCCCTACCGGCCTAGTTCCCAATTACCCAGGCCCTGTCTCCCATTAACCGGGCCTTCAGTTAACCCAATCTCACTGTCAATAACTTTGATTTCTGTCCCTCAAAACATAGTTTCCGCCCCCGTAATCTAGCCCAGTGCTGATGGAAGTATAATGCGAGCCACTCTGTAATAGTAGCCATCTTGAAAAAAAAAAAAAAGATATAGGTGAACTTAACATATATATTTTATTTAACCCCATATATAAAAATATTATTTCAATACGTACTCAGTGTAAAAGTTATTAATGAGATCTTTTACACTTTTTTTAAAAAAGATTTTGTTTATTTATTTGACAGACAGAAATCACAAGTAGGCAGAGAGGCAGGTAGAGAGAGAGAGGAAGGGAAGCAGGCTCCCCGCCGAGCAGAGAGCGCGACCTGGGGCTCGATCCCAGGACCCTGGGATCATGACCTGAGCCGAAGGCAGAGGCTTTAACCCACTGAGCCACCCAGGGGCCCCTAGCCCCTGTTTTATAATAACTGTCCCTAATTACCCACCACTACCTCTCAGTAATGTGGTCCTTCTGTTGTCCAGCGGCCCAACCCCAGTACCCCAGAACTCACTCCCCCTTGCCCTCCGCCACACCCCTGACCCAGCACCACTGTTGCCAGTAATAACCCCAGCCAGCAATAATTCAGCCACAGCCTCTCACTCACCCCCCAGCTCGTGGGTGTGCCCCGGTGACTCCAGTCTGCCCTCAACCAAGCCCCCCCCCCCCCCCCCCCCGTGCCCACCAACCCTGCCCTGTGCCTCCTGACGTAATCCCCGTCCCCTAGCCCTTCTGCCCCTGGAACTCATTGCCCTGGCCACCAACAACTAGCCCCTCTGTCCTAAGCAACTCAGCCCCCACCCTCCGGGAGCCACTACTTGACAGCCATGAGCCCCTCACGGTGCCTGGCCCACCCTCACCCCTGCCCGCCCTTCTGCCCCCACACCACGCCTAGGAAAGAAGAGGAGCGACAGAAGCAGGAGAAGATGCAGCGAGAGAAAGAGCAGTCAGAGAAGCTGCGGACGCTGGGCTACGACGAGACCAAGCTGGCGCCCTGGCAGCGACAGATCATCCTGAAGAAGGGGGACATCAATAAGTACTAGATGCCGCCCTCCTGCTCGCAGCCGCATGAGCTCGAGGGGCCCCAGCCTCCGCCCCGGCCTGCCCGGCCCGGGGCGGAAGGGCTGGGAGTCGCGCTGCCTTCCCCCTCCCGCGCTGGAACCCCTCCCTACCCCCCCTCCGGCCTCCGCACCCCCAGCCCGGGGCGACGCTGGAGCGCGCCCGCCGCCGCAGCCGCCCAGAAAAAGTGCCCAAGCAAGCTGCTGACGCAAAAAGATGCTGCTTATTTGCATGCCTATTTACATATATTTGCATGCGCGTGGAAGGTCGCGCAGAGATCTCCCCGGCCCCGTGGGTGGCGACTTTGTTTCCCCGCGGGGCGCGCGCGACAGGCCGCAGCCCCCTCCCCCGCACCCCGGAACCCGCGTGGCTGGAGCATCCTGGGCGGGGGCAGGCCCCGCGCTCGGGGAAGGGGTTTTCCTCCAGTCCTGACCCAGATCCGCGCCCTGCCCGCCCCGGCCGCATTTCCCATCCGCGCGAGGGCTTCCTCTCAGTCACTTGTTTACCAGAAGCGCTAACAGCAACCTGCCCGTCGGGACGGAGCTGCCGCTCCGGGCCCATCCTCTGCCCCCCGCCCCCGCCGAGAGGTCTGCGCACCCAGGCCCCGCGCTCCCGGACCCGCCCGCGGCTTGGGTGGGGAGTGGGGGGGGGCGGAGGCCCCGCACTCGTGTCCCCCCCCAACTGCCTGCCGTCCCGCTCCCCCATTAAAGCTCTCTCAGCCGCCGGGGCTGACGTTCACTCTCTCGCGCCGTCGCCGCGACTTCCTCTGCCTTTCGGGGTAACTGGGGCACGGCCGAGGGGGCGGGGTGCGGCCTGGGAGCCGAAGGCCGCACCGGCCTCCTACGTGGGTCCCCGACCCCGGGGTGACGAGACTTCCGACGCCCCCAGGAAGCCAGGCCCGAGCCACGTAGCTCCCCAGCCCCGCGGAAACGCCACGCAGTAGATGTGTTCACAGATTTAATAGCGGGGCCTCCCGCGCTCGGGCACGGACAGTGCGAGCCGCAGCCGGCCGCTCCCGTCCGTGCGTCTCGGCCGCGGGCAGGAGACGGGCGCGCGGCGGGGAGGGCGGCCGGCGCAGGGCGGGGCCGGGCTCCATAAGTGACATAAGATGTCTACACGCATAAGTAACCGTACTTAGGGCTCTGCCAGGGGGCACGCCCTGGGTCACGCGCCGCGCTGCAGGCGGCTGCGCAGGTCCTCGGCGCAGCCGTCCAGCCCCATGCGCTCCAGCGCCGCGTAGACGGCGCCCAAGCCCGCGGGCTGCTGCTGGCGCCAGCGCTTGAGCATCTCGTACTGCTGGTCGCGGAAGCGGCCGACCTCCACCTCCACGGCCTCGATCTCCGCCTCGCGCAGCCCCAGGGTGCGCACGAACTCCTTCCAGCGCCGCGCAGGCACCGCGTCCATCACATCGTAGAGCTGCGGGCCGGGCTGGAGCGTGGCGCCCGCCGAGCCTGCAGGGGGCGCTGGCGAGGGCGGGGGCGGTGGCGGCGACTGTGGCGACCGCGGGTCTGAGGGCGGGGCGGAGAGGGCCGGTGGGGAGGGCGAACCCGGGCCGGAGGCGCGCACCGGGGCCGGGGGTGGGGCAGGGATGGCGGCAGCGGAGGGTGCGGGCGGGAACCGCGGTTAGGGCGGGCCAGGGACGACCACCTGACCAGCTCGGGATGCGAAGGGGGCAGGTGGTGCCTCAGGAACCGAGTCCGGGTCTCGGGAGGATGGGGTCTAGGCCTCAGGCCAGCGAGGTCCCTTACCAGGAGATCCGCCGTGCAGCGGGTCCCAGGACCATGCCACCTGCGGGCAGGGCGCCTCCTGGGTCTGGGGGGAGCCAGGGCTCCAGCCGTTGCCAACCAGCTGGACGGTGTGGACCTTCTCACTACTGCCGAGTGGCACTAGGAGGGCGTGGGTGCTGTCCCTGGGCGAGAGGTGGGTGGCCTGGAAGCCAAGAGAAGCCCCAGGTCAACCCAACTTGCCTAAGTAAGGCCCCTTGTCTGCGGTCCCTGGCCCGGAGCGGCCAGTCCCTGGCTCAGTCAGCAAACGTTCCCCAAGGCTGCCTCCCGCAGCTGGCCATAACCTTGCGCTGTGGTCCAGAACGACTATTTCCTCTGCCAGCGAGGGCCTGCTCTTGTTCCCCCAGCCGGGTCTGAGGCCAGGCCTGCGGCACTCATCCCACAGAACCTGTCTGGAGCCCAGCCCTTTGAGAGCCACTTAGGGACAGGTGCTATGCTGCTCTCAGTCGCTCAGAACTCAGTGAACTCACAGGCGTTCATTAGGTCTACTCTGTGCCAGGCCCCGTGCCACACCCTGGGGATCACAGGTTATCATAAGGCCCAACCTCTCAGCTCCAGAACGCTGCAGCCAGGGTGCCGGCTCACCCTCTTTCCAGAATACTACTTCTGTGCTTACCTGGGGAGTCAGGGCCTCCATCCCAGCTTCATCTGTGGAGGGACAAAGAGCATCTCATCAGCAACCAGGCAAGACTCCTAGACCTGGGTGCTGGTCCAAGTCTTCTTGTGTTCCCCTGTACCACCCCCGCCCCAGCTCTCTGCATCAGGGCTGAGTGGGCTTGGGGCTACCCATGCTGACCACATGGCCCTAGAAACGTGTGCACGACTGCGCCCCGTACTTACTAGCAACACTGGGCTTGCAAGGCTGGCAGCGGTGGTAGGTGTAGGTCAGCATAGCACCAAGCAGGAGTGGGACCACCAGGCCAGCCAGGAGCACCTGGACCCAGAACACTGAGAGAAGAGCTGGTGAGCGGTGGGGTTGTGGCCTCCCCCAGTCTCCCCGGGCCTATCCCAGCAGTCCTGCTCTAATTCCCAGCACCCACGTACTCTGCCTCCAGCCACAAATAGTCACGCAGGGCTCAGGACAGCTCCCGAGGGTGCTCCTGCAAGGAGAGGGGAGGGGGTGGGAGGTGAGGGAGAACACACCCAAGAGGGGCTACCCGTGTTCTCCATCCCGGAGGCCCTTTCCTCCCTAGGCCTCTTCCCTGGGAGCCACACTACCAGGAATGTTCCCAAAGTAGTGTCCCCAGGAACAACAGTGGCAGCCACTGCTTAAGAAGCTTCTTGTAGACTAGATTGAGGGTCACAAGAATGTCAGCCCCGTGAGCACCGGATTTGCCTCCTTTGTTCCCTGTCGTGTCCCCAGCACCTAGAGCATCTCTGGAAGATGGCAGGTGCTTAATACACCCGGGGCTAAGGAGACGCTCGGACAAAGTGCTTTACCCCTTACTCTCAGCCCTGGGGAGAACTTTCACACGGGGAAGCCATGGATCAGAGAGGCGAAGTAACTGTCCAAGATCTCCCAGAGGACAAGCGGCACATCTTGAATCTCAGCCCGAGTTTTGAAAGCGTTATCAACGTGGCTCTCTCTATAAACTGACAAAGCCTATACTTCTTTAATGCGCAGCTGGAAAGACCACAGGAAAGTCTGACGAAGGGTGAAGATACGCCCCCTGTTTATCCGTCCTAAGGGGAATGCAGATTTCCCTCTAACATCCAAGGACCAAGCTCCCTCCCCTTCCCTGAGACCCGCACTCGGCTCCCAGTCTCCCTTTCCCTGCCCCGGGGCAGCCAGGACGTTACGTGGGGCAGGGTGTGCAGCTGTTGCCATATTCATAGAAGCCAGGCAGGCAGGTCCCGCAGTCCGCATCTCTGACAGAACCTGCAGTCCAGGAGATGGCTTGTGGGTCAGGAAGGGAGAGAAGGAGTTGGGGATGGGGGAGGTAGCCCAGAATGGGGGTACTCACAGGGCACCCGTGTGTGGCGGTGCAGGGCCCTGCAGTCTGAGCATGGGTGGCAGCGGAAGGGTGAGCCGACCTTGCAGGGCTTGACCAAGCACTCCGGGAACCAGCCTGGCTCACAGCCACAGTGGGTGTCCGCCACCGTTGAGCAGTTTGTCACGGCCACCTGGGAGACTGGCCAGAGTGTTCAGGAGATGGGGGAAATGGAGGCCATCAGGGCCAGAGCCCCCCTCCCCCAGGGACTGGGGGCAGATCCCCTGGAAAATGGAGATGGGGACAGACCAGAGACAGCGCCACCCCCAAAGGGAGAGAAGCATGGAGATCGTCACAGATCACAGGCTGAGGCATATGCCGCGAGAGGAGGGGCATCAGGGAGAGAGGGGGCAAAGGCATCTCAGGGCAGGATCAGGGCGGAAGCCTGGCATGGGCGGACACAGGCCTGTCACACCCAGAGGTTAAGCCCAAGCCAGCCCCTCCTTCAGAAATACCTGGCCATGGACTGGTCAAGAGCCCCCCACTGAGCACTAGGCCCCTCACCCTCCTCATCACAGGCCTGGCAGCGGGTACAGCGGGTCTCATGGTGGTTCTCCCTGGCCAGGAAGGTGCCCCGTGGGCACGGAAGGCAGGTGGCAGTTCCGCAAGGCTTTGGGCAGGGGGCCTTCAGGTAGTGCCCTGTGGAAATCAAACCTGGGTCAGACATTCACAGGGCGTTCTCACGTTCCCCGCTCTTCCTTCCTCTCTCTGGCTCCCTACTTCCCCCACCTCCCCTGTCTCCTTGACACTGCCTGACCCCCATCTCCCTTTGTTTGCCCTCACTTTCCCCCGCAGCCCTCCCACCCCTTCAACGGCTCACCTGCTGGACAGCCCTTGCAACAGAACAGACCGTTCCTCTTCTGGACATTGTAGGCACAGTCACACGGAGGACCGGGAGTGCTGTGCTGGCCCTGGGCGCCCGGCAGCACAAGGAGTAGGACCTGGAGGACGGGCACTGCTGGCTCCAGCAGGGCTTGCCACGCCGGGCCCCTCCCTGCTCCATCTGGTCTACTTCACGGGGGGAACCCCCGCTTGCTCTCAGAGCAGCCCACTTCTCAGGTTCTTGAGTAGAAGAGGTGCCCCTGGCTGTGGGGTAAGCGAGCTTCCCTCCCACCCTGCAAGGACCAGACTTGGGGGAAGCAGAGCAGACGTCCCCAGACAGCTCCTCTGGTACGTACTGCCTCCACCAGGGCGCCGGCATAGGCGGGCAGCCCCATCCCCCTGATGCTCTCTATAAGGTGGGGGACCCAGATCTTTCCCCACCTAGGGCCCCTAGACCCCTCTGGCCCCCGGGCGCGGGTTTCCTCTCAGCGGAAGGGCCCCGCCCGGTTGAGCCTCTAACTAGTGGAGTCTCTAAGTAAGTTGAAAGGTGGGGGGTGGGGCTGCCACACTTCCCAAGGAAGTTGGGCCCCTTCATTCACAGCGCGGGGACCGGGCCTGAGGTCAGGCTCCAGGCTGTCCACCCCCCTCTGCCATGCTCCCCCACTCACCGCAGCCACCAGTGCCATGTAGCCCCCCAGCTGCAACTCCATGGCTCTTGGCACCTTGCTGGGCCCTCCGACAGCAGGCGACAGGCATGCGCCAGCCCGGGGGCTTCCCCGCTCTGCCTGCTCTGCCTGCCTGCTCTGCCCCAAGCCGCCCAGAGAAGCCCGCCTCAGGGGTGGGGGTCAGGGCGGGGCCCCCAGCCCACGCGGCCTGCCCTGGGCACCTGCACTCACCTGAGGCGGCCCGGGGGCAGCAAGGTGTACACAGGTCAGGGCTGCATCGTGGTCCCCAAGCCTGGGTTCTAGCCTCAACCCCGACACTACCACATCCAGGTGCAGTGACTTCCCTCCTTCGGCCTTACCCCTCCCTCAGCCACGAGGGGCTGGGCCAGAACTACGCAGGACGCAGGACGGAGATCCAGCCTCCCCAGATCCTGCCGGGCTGTGGGTACAGGGACCCCACCCCTGGAGGGGGGATCCTAGGGGGCATTCTTCGTGAAGCCTGAGACACATCGCCCACCCTGCCAAAAACTTATGGGAACCCCCAGGGTGGGGCCTTCCAGGGCACCTCCTGGGAGGGAGCAATTCATGGGGGCTCTAGGGTGGACCTCGTGGCTGAGGTGGGGGTGGGCTGATTTTGGGGTGCTGCTGTGTTAATTCACTAATGCTCATCCACGGTGTCCTCCAGTGATGCCCTACCACACGTGGAAGGGGACAGGAGTGACAGGTACCTGCGCCAGGGCTCCAGCGCACCTGAGTCAGGAAAGGGGTGGGTTCCAAAAGCAAAGGACTCCTTCCAGTAGTATATACAAGTCTTTATAAAAGAATCAAAAGCTCAATAAATATGCAAACTTACACAGAGCCGAACCCAAGCCTGGGGTGGCCTGTGGGACTGGGAGGGAGGAAGGCCAGACCAGGGGAACAAACATCCCAGTTGGGGCCAGATGAGGCTGGAGGGGTAAGGGCCACCCTGGAGCCCAGCCCAGAAGACTGGAGCGGGTGATCCAGGAGCAGCGAGCAAGGGACACTGTGGGGTTGGGGAGGACTGGGGGCAGGTGGTGGACAGGTTAGTGAAGGTGGCCTTGTTGGGGGTCCTGAGGAAGTACTGCAGCCTGGGCCTGGAGCTCAGCTGAATGCTCCTCCGCTTCCATCCAGTCTGGCAAAGTGCAAATCGGGGGTCCTGCCCAGCACTCTGGGTCCTGCGGGCACAGGCAGCAGCCAGAGCTGGAAGCAGGACGCCCCAGGAGGCATGCTGTCTGCCGTCGCTCGGTCAGGGGCTCCCTGGGGGGCCTCCCTCTGCTCAGACCTCCCTGCAAGAGAGGGGAAGGGAGAGAGTCCTTCCTTGGTTGATGCCACTCGGAGGGGCTCTGGCCACCCTCCCTGCCCCACTGGAATTTTTAGGCCCCTTCCCCACTGCCCACTGTAGACACTGTCGTGTAGGCTCTGGAGCAGGCTCCCGTCCCCATCCCCTAATGCCACCTGCTCCCAGCTTTAAGAGTGCCCTTACCCATTCCTGAGGCTCAGTGCCCCCCACTGCCGGCACACCGGGCCACCAGCCTTCGACCCCAGGCCACTCACGAGGCAGTAAGCGTAGAGTTAAGCAGCAGGGTGGTCCTGATTCGGTACAGCTGGGCGAGTGTCAGCTTCCGGTGCTGGGCAGAGATCCCTGGGGGGGGCTCAGGCTGGACCCTGGGCAGTTCTTTGGTCCTCCTGGCGGGTCTTTCGGGCTCCCCCACCGGGCAGCTGGTTCTGCCCTCCAGCTCTGATGGCTCAGAGCCACAGCCAGGGTTTTGTGTCCCCCAGCGAGCCCAGCTGGACCCAGCTTCCCGAGGGAAACCCTGAGTCCTCGTGCCAGGGACTGTGACGGCCAAGCAGAGTTCTGACAGACTGCGGCTGGGCGTGGGGGGCGCTCCGCACATGGTGGCCCCTGACAGCAGCTGGAGGAGGCTGGCCTCAGATTTGGACTTGAGCAGGTGGGGCAGATGGGGCAGCAGCTGAACGGGTGTGCGGCGGCGGAGGCGGGGTGAGGGTGGAGGTGAGGGGGCTTGTGGCAATTCTGGGAGCCGGGGCACTGGCTCCCCCACAGGGGCGGGGGCTGCAAAGTCTTGCAGGGAGGTTGGGGAGAGGGTGCCGTAGGCGGAGTCCATGGAGCAGGAACGGCCATCCACGGGGCCCAGGGGCAGCAGCTCGCTGGTGGGCGTGACAGAGGAGGCCGTGGTGCTCAGGGAGGTCTCGTCCGACTGGGAGCTGAAGGGGCCGCCCTCGAACTCCGGAGAGGATGGCATCTCCCCGGGCTCCACCACAACCATGGCCAGGGTCTCGGTGGAGCCATCGGAAGCACTGCGGAGCCGGGAGGAGATGCTCAGGCCAGCTGCCCGGGTGGCCTGGTGCAGCCCGTGCTTGGGCACCCACAGGTGTACAGCCTCTGGCCTCTCCGGAGCAAGCGTATGGCCCACCAGCCTGATCTCCCAACTCCTGCGCCCGCAACACGGACCCCAGGAATGGCACCTGGCACCACCACAACACTCCGTCTGGCCGGACACAATTCAAGAGCCCTTGGCTCAGCTCTCCGCCCGGCTAACACCAGACCATCAGAGTTGGCGCTCCAGCTAAAAACCCTTTGCCAAGCCCCCCTGGACTCAGGCGGGTGGCACAGCCCTCTCCCCCACACTGAACCATTCGGAGGAAGGGGCCGTGGCTGGGCCCTGTGCAGGGTCAGGTGCCTTGGGGCCAGGTCTGCTCTGGCTGGCAGGGGCGGGGGGGCAGGGCATACCAGCTCTGGGAGTTGAGACTGTTGCTGCTTTTGCGCAGGATGGTGGGGGAGCTTGCAGCAGAGGTGCTACTCTCCTCGCCATCCTCCTCCTCCTCTTCCTCGTCGTCTTCCTCCTCCTGCTCATCCTCCTCCTCCTCCAGGCTCTGCAGGTGCTGCTGGCTGCCTGGGTGCTCCTGGGCACGCAGCTGCTGCAGCTGGTTCTGCAGGTGGGGGAGGGAGTTGTGAACAGCCCCCCCCCACCGCCGGGACGCCCTGCCCGCCCCCATCCGCACACCCACCACTCGGTTCCCACCTGGGCATTGTAAATGGCGTCCACCCAGCCACGGCACAAAGCCTGGCCGCTGGCCTGGAACGTGTAGGCGCCCACGGCACTGTGGAACTCGTTCAGATAGATGAGCAGAAAAGAGCCTGGTGAGGAGGGGCTCAAATCAGCACCGGCTAGGACCCGGAGCCCCTGCCTGCCAGCTCCTGGCCTGCAATAGACCAGGCTCCTCACCAGGGTCTCGTAGCTCTCGGCACACAATCTTGTCCACCAGCAGTGGTGGTCGGACAACTTTGGTCCTCTCAGCCTTCTTCACTGCCTTGGTCACCAAGAGTAGGTCCGTAAAGAGGAAGCAGTACACGTCCATCTGCAGGGGTGGGGGGGCAGCAAGGGGAGTGGGCGAGGCCAGGGATCAGGGCCAGGGTCCTGGGACCGCAGCCTGTCTGCTGTGACACCCTCTCTTGGGCTGGGCCCTGCACCAGCCCTTCCTTACTGCACTTTGGTGATGTTGCTGGGGGCACTCAGATTTTGTCAAACACCTTCCCTGCTCCCTGCCTCCCATGAACCTGAGAATAAAATTAGAATGAAGAGAGGGGCGCCTGGGTGGTTCAGCGTCTGCCTTCGGCTCAGGTCACGATGCCGGGATCCCGGGATCCAGCCCCACATCAGGCTCCCTACTCAGTGGGGAGCCTGCTTTTCCCTCTGCCCCTCCACGGCTCATGCTCTCTCTTTCTCTCAAATAAATAAAGTCTTTTAAAAAATTAAAATGAAGAGCAAGATGTTATTCCTTCGTGGAGCTATAAAGGTATAATTTATTTCAGTAAAAAGTTCACACTGAAGAGAAAAAGGGAATTTATGATCTGCGATTTTGAAAGCCACAATTTGGGGTTCCTGGGTGGCTCAGTTGGTTAAGCATCCAACTCTTGGTTTCAGCTGAGGTCATGATCTCAGGGTCCTGAGATCAACCCCCCAGCGGGCTCTGCTCTCAGTGGGGAGTCTGTTTCTCGCCCTCTCCCTCTCTCCCCGCTTGCATGCACTCTTTTTCTCTCTCTCAAATAAATAAATAAATCTTTAAAACCACAATTTGCAAGCTCTGGGTTATGCACCTAGGATTAGTAGCTCAGAAGCCAGGCTCTGGGCTGTTCATGACCTGCTCTTAGAACGCATCCCCCGACCAAGAACCCTTATGGCACCAGCAGGGGGGCAAGCCCAGCGCCCCACTGGCTGTGCCCATGCTGCCACATCTGTAAAGGATAAACTGCAGGCAGATCATGAGCCCTCAAGGGACCACAAAGTCATTCCTTGAACTGCCGCCCCAACTGACACGGCACCTAAGAACCATTAACTAGGGCCCAGAAGGCTCCCAGGAAAGGGTGGTCCAAACCCACAGAGCAGGAGGTGGGGAAGGGGCGCTGGGGGTGGATGGACCCTAGAGTCACCTTGCCGTCCTTCCCCTCCTTCATCCTCAGGCTCCCCTCCAGCAGCAGCTGTCGCGTCTCCTCAGGGGAGGCGCCAGGGATGGGTGCTGTCAGGTCTAGGTGCATAAACTCCTTCAGGAGCTGGTGATGGGTGGGGGTGGAGGAGGTGTAGACAGGTCAGGGTCCGACGCCCGCTCTGGCGCCGGCATCCTCAAGCGAGATTCCCAGCACAGCCCAGGGCTGCCAGTCTGGCCCTCCCTCCGTTCCAGCAGGGCCAAGGGTCCCCCACCTTGTCCACCTCGTCGTTGCTGCCCTCCACCACCTCGTAGGCGTCGATGCGGCTCACCACGGCCGCCAGCCGCTGTCGCTCCTGCCGCTGCCGCATGCACGCGTTCACGTGGTGGATGAAGCGCTCGGCGGAGTCGATCTGCGCAGCGGGGCGGGCGACGGCGGGGTCAGGCCCGGGGTCTGGGGGGGGCCCCGAGCGGCAGAGGGGACCCCGCCCGCCGCCCCGGTTACCATGGTGACGACGGCCTCCTTGGCGCGCGGCTCGTCCGTCCTCCTCAGCACCGACTTGAGCAGCAGCGGGTACTTGGTGAGCCGCTGGTGGGGCTTGGCCAGCATGTCGCTCAGCTTCAGCCGCTGGCACTGCGGGTGCTTCTCGGCCCACTGCGGCGCGGGCGCGGGCGGCGCTCAGGTAAGCTCCGCCCCCGGGCTCCAGGCCCCGCCCCGCCCCGCCCACCGACCCGCGGCCCCGCCCGCGCTCACCGTGACATAGGCCCGGAAGAGGTCGTTGTCGCGCAGCAGGCCGCGCATGTACTCCATGCAGCCCTCCTCCTCCAGGCAGTACCGGACGTAGGGCTTGAACAGGGAGCCGAACTGGCCCGGGGCGGAACAGGCCCGGTCACCGCGCGCTCTCCGCGGCCGGGCCCTGCGCCAGCCCCTCTTCAGGCACTTTCGTGACCACCCCAAGGTGTGGCAAGTGTTATCACCCCAGTGTCCAAACCGAACTTCCGCGGAAGTGACCGCCCTCCCCAAGGAGGAAAGGCAGGTGGCCTGGTGGGGTTCCAAGCCGGCGACCGACTCGGAATTCTTTGTCCCCGAACACTAGGGGTCCTCTGGGGCCACTGGTGGTGGGGGGGAGGGGCTGGGGTGCCTGGCAGACCGGATTGGCGCTCCGGCCCGTACCATCTTGAAGCCTCTGAGGAAGTCCCCGGGCTGCAGCAGCG